ATTTTTTACTTTTTCCTGTGTGTTTTGCTGGTCTATTTTTCTAGATCTCACCCGGGTCCAGAATTCTGCCCGGGACCATCTAAGTAGACCCATTTGGGAGTCTACTTCTCATCACACCTGGCACACTGAGAATGGATTCCTGACCTTCTGTCCTAAGCTCTTTCCCCTCAGTCAGGGATGACTTTTGCCCCTAGGTGCTGGTGTCAGCAACTGCGTAGCCAGTGTACCTGCAGTTCCTGCTGCTACTGATGGGGCTCCGCCCCCGGTTCAGCACCCAGCGGTGCCCAGAACCCTGCAGTGGGTTCCTCCGTTTCTCCACTGTCATCTTGTCCCCAAAGCCTTTTACAACGCAGCAAGCAGTTCGAGTAACTCCTCTAAGAAGCAACTTAGAATGGAGTTGTCCTCTACTTCCAGCCTCCTATGGCTTCCTCCTCACTTGGGGGGACAGCCAAAGCCCTTCCCAAGGCCCAAAGCCTCCCCGGTGCCTGTCCCAGAGTCAGTGTGACCTCAGGACTGTCCCCCACGCTCACTCCACTCCGCCATGCTGGCTTCCTTCCTGTTCCACAGACACACCAGGTACCTGGCCACCTTTCTACCTGATTTCTCTTCTGCCTGGGATATTTCTTCCTGAAATGTCTACCTGGCTGAACCCTCCCTGCCTACAGATCTCTCTCCAAACATGGTTTTCTCAGCTACTTTCCAGAATGCCCTAGAGCAAACACCTCTATTCTTTTTCCCTACTTTATTTTTTCTCCATTTCTGACATACGGTAATTGTCCCTTCTGGGACTTCCAATGGATGCCAGGGACTATAGACAGTAACGAATCCTACACGTACTATTTTTTCCTATACAGACTTATCTATTATAAAGCTTATTTATAAATTAGTCACAGGGGAGAATTAACAATAACTAGTAATAAAACAGAACAGCTGTAACCATACACCATATTAAAATCGTGCATACACTGCCATTCCATTCTGGCGCCCAAGTGTGTTCACATCGTCTCTCTGTCTCCCGAGGCAGTTGTCACAGATCGTCTTGTGTTTAGGGCCGCCTCGCCCTCTTGGCCCATGGACGTGGAAGCACCTGGGAGCAGCAGTGTGCTCCATCCGGTGTCCCCAGGCAGGGCTCTGCAGGGCCTCAGGCACAGTCCTGTTTCAGTGCAGTCCCGAGCTCTCCCACCGCCCTGTAGAATCTTTCTGGTACCTGCGTGGGGATAGGCGATGTGTGCCGCATCAGGAGACCCCGCAGGGGCGTGTCCAGCACTCTGATTCCTGAGGAGCTCAAGTCCCTGGAGCACAGAGCACACGGCTCCCAAGGACAAGGCCGGAGCTCCTACGCTGTGGGTAATGTACACTTCTGTCACTCAGGAGTCCCAGGAAATACTCAGACCACTCCAGTGGGCCCTTTGTTTTCTATTCTGTGCAGAAATACAAAGCAAGTTGAGAAGCAATAGGAAACCAGCTCTGTCCTTTCAAGTTGATTCCTATGACACTACTAAAAAAATCTGCAAAGCAAGCTTCATGCTAATCGCTTTCGGTTACCATGGCTTAGTGACTCCCCATTCGTTATGAGCTCTGCCCGATTCTTTAGGAGCCCTCTCTGCTTCCCCATGTTATTACTATCCTATTCTTTTTTTTCCTTTTAATTAGTAATACTTTGGCTTCAACATGTGATTTGACAGATACCTTAAAAAGAGCACTTGTAGAATTTTTTTTTTCTATAATGTCAAGGTTGTTCCTATTATTGCTTATAATAGCTTTTGCGTTCCTCTGAATCTTATTTTGTTTTCTTATACTATATGAAAGAGTTGAGTTTTGGTGTTCCTGGATTAATAATAATTATAAAGTTATACCAAAGGTACTGAAATTTATTTGCACATTAAATCTAGGCTGACAATTTTGTGTTTCTCAAGCATATGTTATAGAGTGCTGAAAATAATTCCTGGAATAAGAAGTCCGAGAGCACTTGGACATTTACGATGTAGATATTGATGGCATAATTCAGTACTTAGATTCTCCATATCAGCTTAATATAGCAGCTTGGATTGTTTTTCTCTTTTGTTTGCTTCTTTTTCAGGTCATTTTCCAAATTCATTTGTATTTTTTTAGCCTTTGTGACAGGATATCAGTGACTCCATCCAGTCCAGGGACCCCCCCCCCCAAGCCGGTGCATGCAACGGAAGAAACCACGTGGTCCAGTCTGCAGCCTCACTGGACCCCAGAATCTCGGACTGCTGATACCTGAATAGGTTTGCGATGGATGCCTGAGCCCACAGTCATTCTATCCTCCTCTGTTTCCTGAGCTTGGCAATCAAAATGCGTATTCAGCAGGCGCTTTGAGGCATGTGAGATGGACTTCCAAAACGCAATCATCTGTGCCAAAAGAAGAGGGCTCCTTTTAGGGCATTCCTACAAATAATGCCAGTGTGCCCGCCTCCTTCCTTCCCCAGCTCCGGCATGGCTTCATTGTGAAATCCAGGCATGCAGTGAAGTCACTCCATCTTTGGCTGCTGCAGAAAGCCAGTCTATTACCCAAAGCCCAAGACTGGAGTATATTGCTCCTATTAGCCATGTATCAAGCCAACAAGCTAAGCAATGACTGCATTTTTCTTTCTAATATGCAGCAGTGTGGTGCACTTAGCAGTATTATTCCTTGAACAGATGTGTCTTTTCACAGTCTTCTTTTCTTAGGAACATAAGATTTTTTTGCTTCTGTGCTTATAAGATGCAACTGCTTTAAAAGGTATTTCTGAACTCATACTGACAGCCCTCTGTGCTGGGGGCTGAGTGACATGAAAACCACAATCCCATCACTAGGCTCCCACTTCAAGCACCCAATTAGCACATACTCTTTGACTAAATACACTCTGTGGCCAGTGTAGCCATCCTCTGGGCTTTGATTCCAGAAACCCTAGGATATCTGGAAATTACTCGGATGGGGTAGCAACCAGCATACAAAAGATAAGCAAGAAGCCTTTCCCGGACAGTGAGCACACTGGAGAATCTTGACAGCAAAGACATAGAAGGTTATATCAAATCCCCTCCATGCTAGTGTTTTGAATAACTAAGCGAGTTAACCAGTGTGTTGCTCAGCACTTCCCTTTATCAATAAAAAAGTAGCATTCACAATTCACAAAGAATCAATATATAAAGCGCAACAGGCAACTACTACGCTTTTATGACTTCCTCGGTGCTGAGTGTTAACAAAGAAAATCTTGCTGTTCTACTTCTGAAAAACACTCATGGAAGCGGGCAACCAGACTGATACCATTTTTTTCTTATAAAAAAGTATAATAAGCTCTTGGGTCACCTTCAAAATATGGTTGCCATGCCGAGGATTTAGCTCAGTGGTTTTGCCACCTGCTGTGCAAGCGCAAGTACCCGAGTTCGATCCCTGGTACCAAAAAAAAAAAAAAAAAGAAAAAAATATGGTTGCCTTCATTCCCTGGAGTCGAGTTACTGAGGGATCAAGTGGCAGAGAGGCTGGGAGGGAAGACAAAAACAATCGCTCAGCCGGAAGGGCGTGGGGCTGCTGTCCTTGCCCAAGTCTCTGCCCAGAGCAAGGTCTTGGAAATCCACAGAGCCCAAGGGTTCTGCAGCAGCAGACACGAGCGGGCATGACCCTGGCACACGTGGTGTCTGTTCTGCCAATGCCTCTGCGAGTGTCCTGCCCAGTTCCACACAGGAAATCTCACACAGGTCCCCACTGAGTGGAGAGGTCCAGTGAGAACTCCCCTGAGAGCTTTGAACAGCCTGGGCCCTGCAGGCTAAGGCGGCTGAGGATCTGGGAGTGTGCCTATATGCCTGGCGGGATGCGTAGCTCTCCAGTTGCCTCTGGAGTGGGCTTTTAAAGAGACTACTTTGGCGGCCTTCACTTTGGCAGTACTGGTAAGGTCCGTTGGCAGCGGGTTCAGCAGAGGAGCTAGTGCACAAATGTGCAAATGCAGCTGTGGCATCTGATGATCACAGCAGGAATTAGTTTCCTTCTTTTGGGTAGGAAAATTGACTGTGGTTTGTTGGGAAAAATCACTCATTCCTATGAATAAGCTATATGGACCCCCTTGGGACAGCTTTAAAAAAAAAATAAGAAGGCAGCTGCACAAGCTAAGATGGGCTAAACTCAGAAGCTGCAAAGGTGCTGCACGCGACCCCAGCCTGCTGCTGCCTTTCCAAATGGGGGCAGGGTGGGGAGGTGAGGGTCAGAGGGCTGAGGGAAATGAAGGCTTTGGCTGATTCATCTAACTGTGCTCTTTGCCTGCTGTTCGTGCCTTATTGAGACTCTGGCACACAGGCTCGGCTACCCCACGCAGTGTGGTCTTTGCTTCGCTCTCTGGTTAGCAGGCCTCGTGATTCACTGCACCTGGTAGAAACCCATGTGGGTCTGATTCCTCCACCAAACCCTGAGTGGCTTGGTAGAAGGAACAGGATGTTCGCTGCTCCTCTCGAGTTCCCAGCCCAGGGTCCACTGCCTCCTTCCTGTGCCTCTGTATTCTGGGGCTCTGGGCTGCTGTGACAGCAGGACGATCCAGTGACCTGGGAGCCGGAGCACCGTCACTCCTTCCCCCAGGTCGCTGTCTAACTGTCAGCTGTGTACTCTTAAAATCGAAAGCAAAACAGACCTAAGGAAAACACAGACGCTTTTGGGTAAAGAGCTTTCAAATGTCACTGAACTCATTTTTTTTTAAATGCCAAGATGTGAAAGCCAAGTAAGAAGACTCCCCTTTTCTAGAGCCCCTTTCTAGTAGGGTCATCACTCCCTGCTTGTGTCTTATCTGTGCCACACTTCCTGTTCCTGCCCAGTGATCAGCTTATCTGGGCAAATCCAGGAAGTGAGTTTCAAAAGGGCACATTTGGCCATGGCCTGGTATTTCTGGCAAAGATGGGCCGGGATGACTCCTGGAGGGAGAGGTAGAAACTCCTGGAAAAGCAAGTAGAAACTACACACTGAAGTCAGCTTGTCTTTATTGTCTGAAAACCATCACCCCACTCCTGATACAACCAGACTTACACATGAGCAGCCTGATCATTACCCTGTGGGCATTTTGAAAGGAAAAAAGCCTATGGCTGTTCCCCCAAACTCCAAGGGAAAACTCTGCCTGTTTTGGTCCTTGGCAACCTGGAGCCCAGCTCCATCCTGCCCTCTGGTCCCAAGGATCCTCCATAGTGGCAGGCAGAGGACCTTGTCTTGCAGTTGCCACCTGGCTGTAGGTTGCCTCCGATTCAAGGGTAAAAAAAATCTGAAAAGGGGTGGTTGCTATGCTGCACACCATCCTGAGCATACAGTACACACTTAGTAAATATTTGATTTTCAAATAGCATTGAATTCAGACCTCTTATCCTACCACTGTTCCTCAGAATTAGAGCAATGCATTCTCTTTGGCAAAAACCAAAAGCCTGCTTCAGTTTCTGTTTAGAATGGGATGAACATGCTAACCTGGAGGTCACTGAGAACACACAGTTAAAAGCAGATACCTCCCAAGGACAGATGCTGGACAAGGATTTAGCCAATGGAAACAAAACAATGACTAACTCTAGAGCGAGAGCACAGCTCAGACTGGAGAGTACCCCAGTGTCCCAGATCCAGGCGAGCTGGCTCCTGTCCAAGCCTTCCGTGTCCAAGTCAGTTGTGCTTTTTGTCCTTCAAGTAGCTGAAGAGCATCTCCAGGCCACCCTCCACCAGCTCCGGCAGGGGCTTGGATAACGGGTTATGGGAGATGTGGAGCCCTTTGTTCATGGGATTCCAGGCAATCCTCCCCAGTCTACACAGCAGGTAAAGCTCCTCCGGGAGGGTCTGGATGTCGTTGTTGTTCAGATTCAGTAGCTCCAGGCTCGAGACGAGGCACAGCGACCTGGGGAAGGAGTGGATGTTGTTGTTCTCCGCGATGAAAATCTGCAGGCTGGACAGGCACTGGATGCTCTCGGCAATGTTTTCCAGGCGATTGGAGCCCACGTGCAGGAAATCCAGCTCCTTCAAGGAGAACACGCAGATGGGGATGTGGACGAAGTGGTTGTTGCTGAGGTTCAGCTTCCTGAGCCTGGAGAGGTCGGCGAGGCTGGCAGGGAGCTGGGACAGGCAGTTGTGTGACAGACTCAGCACTTCCAGGCTTCTGCAGAGGCTGAGCTCGGCGGGCACCTCTGCCAGGCAGTTCATGTTGGCGAACAGGACCTTGAGGCTCTGCAGGCGGCTGAGTTCCCGGGGCAGACTCTTGAGCCGGTTCCCGCACAGGTTCAGAACCACAATCCGAGTCAGCTTCCCCACCTCGGGCGGGAGAAGCCGCAGCTGGTTGTGGGACAGGTTGAGTTTCTGGACCTCGGACAAACCCCACAGAAAGTCGGGGATGTCTGTCATTCCTTTGGTGACCAGGCTGAAGCTGACATGGCGCATGCCCCGCTTCAGCAGGGACCTCGGGTCCTTGCCCGAGAGCAGGGCGTCATCCCAGGAGGAAAACTTCTGCCTCCTCCTCGACAGCAGCATCCTCGTGGGGTCCTTGTCCTTGGCGCTGGCCCTGGACTTCCCAGCCCCCATCTCCCCTGTCCTGCCCCTGTCCTCTGTCCTTCAAGCTCAGAGCTTGTCCTGCCCCGGCAGCTAAGCCCAGGCTGCTGCTGCAGTCAGAGACAGCGGAGTGAACAGCGGGCAGAAGGCTGGTGGCGGAGCCTCCACCAGGCCTTGAGGTGTCCCCAGGGGGTCCACGTGCAGCCAGGGAGCGCCGTGCTCACCCCAAGTGTGGGCTATGTGGCCTCTCTGGGCAGCCGAGCTGTAATGATAAACGGGCTGCTGAGGCCCCAGACAGAGCTCACTGCTCAATTCCCTCTGAATGCCATGAGGCAGCTGTCACTGTCATTCTGCCCGAGTTTTATTGACCTGGTATGTGCACACGGGTCACAGGGTGGCTGCATATAACTTTACCCGCTCAGCTTTTCTTGGGTGTCACAGCTGAGCAGGGTGATTAGCAAGCCAGCCTCGAAAAAGCAGCACAGTGGAGAAACGCAGCAGACTGGCGTCTCATCCTGGACACATGGGAGTGGGGCTCAGCTGGAAGCTGGCCAGGGCCCTCTATCTGCAGCTGCAGATCTTTAGGCGGTCATCTTCTGGGTTGCACTGGTCTCCTAGAACCTCCAGGAAGCAGACTTTACAGGTACCTGGTAGAGGTGACTTAGTGACCAAGGGGCGGAGGGACCCTACGTCCTGGTGTCAACCAGAGGAGCTCTGGTTCCGCCGATTCACAGTGGGCTCCTGAGATTTCCAGGGTGACTTGAACAGCGCAGGACTGGCCACCCTAGTTAGGTCAGCATGGGACACCTGTGATCTCGGGAGGATGCTCAAACTGCTTCCCTCAGCCACACCCATTCCTCTGTCTCTTTCTTGGAAAATCTACTTCCACCCTAAGAATCCAGAGTTAATTGTAGGCATTTGCAGGCGAAGACGGCCTCCCGCAAGTCGACGAGAGAGGCCTCAGAAGGCACCAGCATCTGCTGTCCAGAACTGTGAGAAAAGTTCGTTTCTGTTGTTGAGGCACCAGTCTGGTACTCTGTCATGGCAACCTTGGGGAGTGAATGTAGCCAGGAGGCCACGGCCTCGTGCATGGGGTGAAAATTCCTAAAAATAGCTGGTGATTAAAGAGAGAATGAATGGCACACTGATGACCAGGGCTCTGAATAAAGGGCAAGGGAGGACTGGGGCCTGGAGCTGTGGGTGCTGCTGGCAGCGGCCCTCCTGGGCTGGGGAGAGAAGCTGCTCTGTGACTGTGACGATGCCCAGGACCTCCAGCAGGCCCTGTGGGGGCAGGAGGAACCGCCAGGGCTCTAAGACAGCTGGGCACCCCTTCCGACCCCTGCCACTGGGAAGATCTGACACCTGTGGACCAGGTCAGCCCCAGGGTCCTCACAAAGATGGAGACCTTGGAAGTTGTTCTCATGGGGCACTGGAGTGTTTTAGCTTTAAGCAGGGAGAAAACAATGGAGCTAAATTTCTAAGCTAAGTTTTCGGTGCAGCCCGGGCCTTATCGGTGTGGCTCTAAGACAAGGCAGACTCTTCGTATGAAGTGAGCCCCACCTGGTGCTTCCTCCAGAGTCTGAGATCCTGGGGCTGCCGGACTCGGAGGGTCCGTGGAGCTGGAGCTGACAGCTTTCTTCTTGGTAGCAGTTATCTCTCTTTCCTCTTCATAATTTTTCCAATAAATATTTTGGAGCACTCATTGCTAGCCAATATTTATTGAATGTTTACTACATGACAGTTTTTGTACTAAGGACTTCCTGTGTAGGATGGGAAGGACAATCATCACTACTTCGCAGATGAAAAAGCAAAGACAGAAAGCTCCAGACATTTAAGGAGAATTAACTCCCTCGTTCAAGGTCAAGTGGATCATCAATGCCAGAACCAGGATCCAAACCTGGTCAGTCTAATTCCACAGCCCAGGCTGGAAACCCTAAGCCCTTAGTCATAAAATAACTATGACAGGGTTCTTTCTTTCCAAGAGCTACCTGCTAAGGCTGGAGGGAACACAGATGAAGAAATGACTATGTAACTGTATGCATGTGAATAACAACATAATTAGTCATTAACCCGGCTCAGTCTGCTGCCAAAACAATTAGAAGAGCAAGAGTCAAAAGATCACTCCAGAAAAGTTTAGAGGACTCAATCCCTGCCTAAAATAGTTCTGGTCTTCTCCAGTGAGATGAGCAGAGTGGTTGGAGGGCCTGGTCTCTTCTAATTGTTTAAAATACACGTGGGCCCCACTCAGTGAACCACTGCGATGGTCAGGAAGGAGTTCACCCAGAGGATGTTTGTCATCTGGGGAGTCAGTTTCCCCATCTGGGAAAGGGGCTGTCTGGTGTGGTCAGGACAATCGAGTTGGCTTTGGGGCCGGGAAAGCCCCTGTGACCTTTGCCTGGTGAGAACAGGCCACATCAGGACTGCTTTCATGTTGGTGGCCCTGATGCTGGTTTCTGGGAATAAACAGCACCAGGCGTGATGCTGGCTTCAGGACTCTCCGTGTAGCCCACACCTTTGGCCTTTGCCAAAACAGACTTTTCATGAATTCCTGAGCAGATCCCAGTTTGGAATAAGCCTCAGGATGAAGCACTGTTGGAAGCACTCTTAAAATTCCAGGATATCGTGAGGAGTGTGATGGTCTTTAAACCCAGGAAAGTCACTGAATGCCTGAATGTGTTGAATGGGCCCAGAGCGTCCGCTGCATTTCTGCGTATTGCTATTGATGATAGGAAAACCACCATGCACTCTCACTTTAATCCTAAGTAAAATAAACCTGAGATGATGAGAGTGTGAAATAGTAGCTTCCAAAAGCCTCTGAAGCGACTCCTGAATTCACAATAATGGACCGTCTATTAGAAAGAATTCTTTTTATTCTCATTATGAGTTTTCAGCTTATGCCTACGCAGTGTCTATGGAGTTTAGAAGAAAGAAATAGGTATGTCTAAACAGTCTATTAAAATAGTCTTACTGATTAAAACTTTTAAAGACAGGAAATGTAGACAAATACAAAGAGGAAGAATTAACATTTTGCGTATGTCAATCTAGATCTTTTTCCTATGCGTATCTATTTCAAGCTGTTTTCTCTCACCAAAAGAAAAAAGAGATTTTAAAATCCATCTTAGTTCAGTGCTGTGTTTGGATGCAGCTAGTTCCCCAGGGTCCCAGTGCCAGGAGCATGGTCCCCAGGGTGGAAACATCTGGAGGTGTGTCCTGGCTGGGGGTCCTGAGCTCATGGAGGATGTTGTCACAGGGACAAGATTGAAGCCCTTCTCTCTGGACCCCTTGCTAGTTGCCAGGCAGCCGAAGCCAGTGCTGCTCAGCTCCTTTGCTTCCTGCCTCCTGGGGTGGCCACTTGCTGTACACTGCACCACCACTGCCCGTCTCTGCGCTGTGACGCAGCCCAGAGCTCTCACCAGAACTGAGAGGTGGATGCAGCCACTGCACCCCTGAGCCTCCACATCTGCGAGCTAAGTGAGCCCCTTTCCTTCCTAAGCAGTCAGTCTGGGGCATTTCCTCATGGTACTGAAAAGTGAACTGGTGCATCCCCGGCCACCAATCAGAGATTAAGGCAAAAGCTTGGCCAGTGTTGACCTTGGAGCCCAGCCCCAGGTAAGCAAGGGTTAGGGGACACCGGAAGCAGGACAAGGAGGGACAGCAAATAAGCCGAGCTTTCTGAGCAGCTGCATCTTCCCACCAAACTCAGTCTATGATCAGCTTTTGTGGACATCTGTGTCTCTGAACAGCCTGTAGTGAAGCAAAACCACGCTGCAAACTGCCCAGCTCGTGGTTGTTAGAGGTCTATGACCGTAGTACAGAGGTGGTGTACGATGTGACAGCTGTTCCAGAAGAGTAACTTCAACACACGTCGCCGCTACCCCTGCCCCAGGGTTGTTCGAGGAATATTGTCTCTCATTTGATTCTTATTTTATTCTTGTCCATGAACTTGACACTCTCTTCAAGGTCAGTCAAAACTATGGTTCTGCAGAGTCCCTTCTGAATCTTCCTGCATATTAAATCGGCGCTGGTGGCTGAGGGAGACGTTCATGCGCTGTGCCTGACACTCCTGAGCTTTGTAAGGTTGCTACTCTCAGCCTCATGCTCCTATGAGGAGGCCGGGCTTCCGTGGGGTTAAATGACAGTCCAAGTCACAAAACCAGTTGGTATCAGCGCAGGCGGACACCGGATCTTCAGCTTCTCACTCCTATTCTCTCTCCACCACATGGATGCCCTGTGTTCTGCAGGGCTTTTAAAATGTATTTTAGCCAAGTAGCTGGTTATTTTCCTGATGACTGCATGCCATAGCCTTCCGGCACAAGGGACAGCCTGGCCTGGCAGTTACCGTCCCAGCCCAGGCTGCCTGACTGCCGTGGGTGTTACTCCTGACCCCCGACCAAACCAGGTGTGACCTTAGGCAAGTTGCTGATGTTGTCAGTGCTCTGCTTCCTCATAGGTAAAACCCAGAAAATCACAGAAACTGTCCGGTAAGGCTGCTGAGGGAATTAAATGACTCCAGCGCAAACGCAGGGCACAGGGACATGTGAGGGAGGCGGTGGATTCCAAGGCCTCCCAGTGCTGCAGGGCTGACAGCCTCGCCAGCCCAGAGTCAGCAGTCCCTTTCCCTGCCTGCAGGGTCCCCCGTAACCATACTGCACCCCAGTTGCTCCTCCAGGGTGCAGATGGATTGGGCCAGCCTGCCTTGAAGAGTCACCCTGCTGGAGTCTCAGCGGTGTGTAGAGGAGGAGAGCTTGGTGTACGGGTCCCGGGCCCTCCCATGCCGCCTCCTCCACTGGACTGAGACATAGGTTTAGGGAGGGGTTCAATCACATGCTCTGTTGGCTCCCCTAGAGCCAGGATGTGGCCCCAGGCACAGCTTCCCCACTCCATCTTCTCCCCAGGGCTCTGCCCACTCGGCTTGGAGAGGCCCCTTCCTTCTACCCACAGGGCCTGAGCAGAAACACACATGAACCTCGCTATTTGCCAACTGCCAACTTCTGTTCATCCAGAGGGACAGGGCTGACGTCCCAGGAAGAGGACCCACAGCCGGCTGCTGTCTCTGAATCTGGTGGTTAGGTTCTCCTATCCCCAAACGACCCCAGAAGGCACCTGACCGGAGCAACTGGAAGAAAACACCCAGTCTGCTCTGTGCTGGCCAGAGAG